AAGCCATTTAATTTTGTTGAGCAGCCTGCACTGCTGCTTTTAAAAGTACATTCTTAGCAGTTTTAGCATCAATTCTAGATAAAATGTGGAAGTAACATCTGGTTAACAGAAGCACCTGCCAGCACAAGCAACTGTGCATAACATCTCATTACTAGTGAAATAAGAATCCATATTTATTCTCAAAACCTGATCAATCCAGCAATCTCTTCCACATACTAGGCTCCCAGAAGGAGCAGAGACCCCTTTTACAAGGGTTTAACATTTCACAGCACATTCTGCTTGCAGTTAGCTACCTTTTAGCCAACTCCCCTCTTGCTGATCACCTCTGCTGTCATTCAAGCAACAGCCACAAGTGAGACTTCAGCATTAATTACATCTGCCACTATCCAGCATCCATCAGCTTTCATAAAGTAGCTTTTCTAATTAAACCTGTTCTAGTGCTCTCTAGAGAGCGTTTAAAGATCATGATGTTCTCTGGCAGTTGCTAGAGAGCTCTTAGCACCATAGATGCTGTATTTTTACACCCAGAAGCATGTCAGCAGCCTTTCAGAGCATCCAGCCAGCAGATACTAGTGGCATTAGTTGCTAGAACTATGTTTCAGTCATTCAGCTCAAGTAGATTAAGGGGAACTTAAGCAAGATACCAAAAATATACCTGAAAATACTCTGCATGCACACACTAATAAGCAGCCAGTACAGATGAGAAGCTCCAATATTGCAGCCTTCATGATAGACTTACTGTTAACACTCTTTAAGATTAGCTGAAATAGTCCTGAAGTACTCGGAGCTGCATATAACCAGGAAAACTGAACAGGGCTCACACACGCAATCTTCATGTTGCTACTTAGGCTGTAGAAAATGCTTTTCCAAATTTGATTTTTGACTGTAGAACTGCAGTAACTTAACGGCTTAATTATTCTGCTTGAAATAAAGATTCAGAGGAAATAACAGCTCAGTTCAGTAGCACTACACTTGGCAAGCACAAATGGTATTCCTCACCAAGTGAGCAGAAGGCAGGCTTGATAGCCAGAGCACCTGTTACCACTGGCTGTACAGTAAGCTGGGCTGGTTGCTGAGCTCTGTTGGCACAGGGGTCTCTGCATCCTTCTCCGTAGGAACCAAATAAGAGTCACACACCTCCCTGCAGTGCAAAGGGGTTGGGGGGGGGGGGAAACGGGGGACCCTATCAGCATTCAAGAATTCTACATTCTCTTACAGACTAGAAGCCACTCACTTGCTTTGCTCCATCTGACACACAAGATGCGCACAAGACACCTCCACCTAGTCCACTGCTTCCTCAGCTCTCAAAGAGTCAAGCAACAGTTTAGACAGCACAGGCCAATTCACCCTGCTGGGGCAATTCACATGCCAAACAGACTACGGCAGAGCACTTTTGGCCCATGTTCCATCTGTAACATGAAGTAGGCCCAGCTAAGATGGAAACTGGGCAACAGGAGCACATCCCTATGCCATGCTCAGTATTTACAAGAATGTTTTGTTGACCTACTGTAATAAGCCTGGAGCTGGTACTGGAAAGTCTCAGCAATACAACCTCACTAGGCTCTCTTTATCTCCACCTCTGGTGGATTTGAGAGACTGACATAAGCCTAAGGAGTTCAGCCATCTTTATGGCAACTACAACCCCTGGGTGGTAGGTTATGCCTATTCAATAGCTTTCACTTTGCTAGCACTTCATTGCCCTACTTGCTGCCTACAGCAGCATGCAGGAGCCATTTTCCTTGTAAAACAGAAGCAGGACTTAGTTGGCCCTCATTCCTCACGAGAGGCCTAGCAGAAGGTGTCTAGAACAAAGAACCACCGTTCACTTTTACCTGTATCAAATATATTCTCTCATGGCAGTAGTTCCGGACCAAACTTACAGAAAGTAAGGCATTTCCTATAAGTTAGTAAAATGAAAGTAGCCAGCGTTATACTAGCAAGTCCCTGCTTATGACAAGCCATGAACTTTGCATTGGAAATATCAGGGCAGTTGGGACATTAGATATAATCTCGTGTCCTGCCTTCCACTGACTGTTCTAAGGAACTGGGGCTACAATGCTCATTTGAGCTAGAGCAGTTTAACTGCAGACTTGATTTTTGCAAAATACTATCACACCAGTGATGTTTTAAAAGGAACCTTGTGTAAATATACTGGTGTATCTTGGCAGTTTCACTGCTTGCTTCACTTTCTGAAGTGCCTTTTCCTCCCCATGAAGAATTGAACTGTCTTTCCTACTGCACTTCAAATTCCCTTTTACCCTACCCTCCCTTCCTCTTCCTATGTATCCTGAACCTCTTCTGCTTTGCTGTCTCAGGGTCACGTTTTTTGTTTATGCTTACCAATGACTCTCACTCAAGGTTAAAACCTAACGAAGCCTCCCTCATAGGCACAAAATTTATCTACTGGCCACACACCAGTTCCATGTTGCTGTTTCCTTACCTAAACCGGAACAGACAAGATAGCAATATTCCTATCCTCCCCCAGCTGCTGGAATCTCAAGACAGCTCTACCACCTGAGACAAGCTAGTTAATCTTTGGCCATTCAGCATTAGAGTTGAAAACCACTCCAGCCCTCAGAGTGGGAACTTTTTCCTCCCTCCCCCAATATTCTCCTCTGCTAAATTAAAAAGGGCACATTAATATTTGTTGAGTTACTGATTGCTACAAGAAAGCAGATATCTTACCTTCCCCTCCACCCATCATTTGCAGGTCCTGCAAGCAGGCACAGACTTTCACTCAGCATTCTCAAGAGGCAGATACTTGAATTAATACTGCTAGTGAGTATTACAGAGCAGCAAAAGGTAAAAGCACAAGCTAGTGCACAGTTGAAAGCAGATAACCGGAAAACACAAGGCACTTTGGTTCAACAAGTTTCTGACAGTTCCAAGGGCCAAGATTACTTTTAAAAGATCCAAACTGCAGAGAAACCGAGGGAAGGAAGCTGTTTAAGAAACCACTTGAGGCAGGTGTACTTCTAGCCCTCGAGTCAGACAATCCATATCGCTCACAAGGCAGAGAAAGGCTCAGACTGAGGAAACATCACTTAAAACACCCGCAACAGCTTCAAACGCAAGTCATCTTCCCGCAAACGAGCTCTGCGCAACCATAACACAAAACTACGCTCAGATGCAGCAGCACAAGAGTTGAAGGAGGCAGAGCACAGCTTGTTAGAGGGGTGGCTTGCCTTTTATTCGAGGTGTTTGTCAGGGAATGGGGGGGGTAGTTATTAAGCCAGGCAGAGGAGGCAGATTAAACGAGGCAGTTTGGCCAGTATGAGAACCGACTCCAAGCAGCCTCTTACATACACACACGCACTAACCAACGCACAAGGTTCCCATTTTAGCATTTGATTTGCATTTCCTCTGAGAGATCTTCCCCCCCC